GTGACGGCGTCGTGGGTAAATCCGGCGTCGGTTTCGTCTTCTCCGCCCACACAGCTGCAACGCCATCGTGAGCAACCAAAAGACCCTGAAAAAGGGGGGAGATCACAGTTACAAGTGGTTCGTGGCTTCTAGCAATGGCGCACAAAAAAGAAGCACAAGAGAGACTCGTAATTGCGCTTGAAATAGTTATAGTAATGATAGTAATAATACAAAATAATAGTAGTGGAAATAATTGACTACTGGGAGCATTTTGTAGAACATTGCAATACACCCAAATTACAGCTGATTATTAGGATTACTCTTACAAGATAGGTGCAGTCATCTATTCCAACATTCAATCTTAGGTTACAACAGACCCACTTAAGGATAAGAGAGATTATAACAGACCGTTATCTGCGACAGTCGTTTATGTGGATTCGAATGAGAATCCGAAACATCAAGCCAGTAAACTTCGTGTCTCGGTGATCGCTTATTCTTCTTTTTCTTCGAGACCAATTCACGCTCACTGCTCGACCTACCTACATTTCTTAGATGAGGGAATTGTAATGTAAACGGATATGGTGATGCCTGATCTAGCCTGCCTCGATGATGTCGCGGACGGTACCTCTCCCCGCGTGACGATTAGCAGCAGCGGATCTGGAAAGCACCATCCATTATCTCCTCCAGCGACGGAGACCGAAAATCGAAGGTCAAAGAACCGCTTCCATGCCTTGAAGAACGGTGTCTAACCAAGTCTCCAGTTGCCCTCCTCTTCCGCGCCTTCAGGTCGAGGGCGGCATAAAAAAACTCGGAAAACGTGTCCAAACCACATCAAGCATCTTCCCTGGATGGGTTGAGATATCCTCGCGATACTGTCGCAGCCAATTAGGACTGCCTTATTTGAGACTAAGTCAATATACTTCACTCGAAGGATGGTCCTCAGGCAGCGATGTTCAAATACGTCCAGTCTTAGCTCACCTTCAACGCGTAGGGTCCTGCTTTTATATCCATAGAGTACCGACCGGACGGATGCACGGTACACACGGAGTTTTATGATGATGAAGATAGGATCCATAGGTACTTTCGGAGGATCAAGAAAACCCGGTGAACAATATCGATTCAAGAGACTATGTCGTCCTTGCCCTGTCCAACCGGTAACAACCTCGCCCCGATGTTTTTAAAGCTGTCTACTTCTTCAAATTGACAACCATTAATCCCCAGGGTGCCTACTCTTGGGCGGGCATGCAGCTGGAGAATAATGTGGCCTTCTCTGTATTTATAACCAAGCCAACCAACTTAGCGATCCCATTCACCGGTGACAATACAGACTGCAGATCACCAAAGCTTGAGGCTACTAGGACAATATTATCAGTGTAGTCAAGGCCAGTCAGTAGGTGTCTGGATGCAAACTCAACACCGTCAAAACTGTGTAAGGTCCTTCTGTGAATCCAGTCAATGGCGTAAACAAAGGGCCACAGGACGCAACCTTATCGACCACTAGACTGGACCCCGAACGGCATTTGAGATAGAGGATGATCTCTATCCTGAGTAGACATTTGACTTTTGGGAAAGCCTGACCGGCATATCTGCGCGACTGCGGTAAAACCAAACGTATCAGGCTTCGAATCGCAAAACTGAACAGTCTGTTGCCTCCAAGCGCAGCGTCATCTTTTCTAAACTGAGTATTTCCTTTCGTCTACTGATGGAGACTGCAAGTGTGCAGTTGCCCGCTATGCAGAGGGTTTGAAATCGGAGTACGTGGGCTTTTACAGGCTCAATGACGCGTAGGCGTTTGATGTCAATTTATACGGCTGACTCAACGGTGATACTCCGCCTGTGTAGACGTCCCCCAGTTAACGTGTTGACTTGGTTAAGATAGCGTGCCAATGGGAAAGCAATGTATTATTAGCATCAGACATGTGATCAGGTAGTACTTGCTTAGAACATACGCCCTAAGAATCTTCGTAGGGACGGAAAGCAGACGATGAGGCAAAATAGTGGTTCGGTTAGGAGGAACTGAACCATTTTTTTTTTCAATACGACACGCGAATAGGGCCCCCTTCGGTAATATACAATAATATTGAGTCCG